CATTTGAAATATATGAGTTTGTATGTAATGTATGAATATAATATACAAGTTTCACTTTTTAAATGGAATTACTGAAATAAATCTACTTTTTCATGATATTCTAATTTTATGACCAGCACCTGTATCTTCCATAGCTCTCACTCAAGCGCTCGCAATGTTGTATTCATTCTTATTAAACAGAATATTCTGTTTTCACTGATAAAACAAATTAAAGACACAGGGGGAAGACTGGTTTGCATTGAAGCAATGATAGAAGGGCTAAAGATTATACTYTGCAACATATATGCAYCCAATAAGGAGGACCCTAACTTTTTTTTCATAATATAAATAGTGTACTGGGCCATATGGAAGGACAAATAATATTAGCAGTGGWTTTTAATGAAGTTATGGATCCTTTTTTCTGAGGACCCCCAAGATACCTATTGCGGACCCCAGTTTGAGAACCTCTGATTTAGAGTATCTACCTTCTACTCAAGGTGACTGCTTTCTGAAACCGGGCCCAGATGACAAGTATTATTGAGTACTTTTCCTATATGACCGTCTGAAACAACGTAAACCTACACTGCTTTCACAGTCAGTTCAACTGAACGTTGTACATGTCTGCGGTTACCTTATTCACCTGACCGAGGAAYAAGTCCTTGGCATAGGCGAGCTTTCTTGAATGAGTAGAAATGCTCCTTCGCTTCTGGACCTGCCTCGCGATGCAAACGASACTGCGTTTTACGTACGGAAAGGTTCTGGACAGGACGAGGAGCCTGTTCACGTTCATCTTTGTTTGGTCAAAAAACAAACAAACAACCAAACAAAAAAACACTTTAGTTTACAAAACACCGCGATAACGGAGTCGGATATTGCTGCAACCTGGAGCCTCCGGTCTCTGGGATCAAGCGCGTAATGATGACGTAAGATGCCTAATGATGCCTTCACGTTCCTTACGAAACAAAGTAAATTTCAGAGGATCAATGATAAACACAGCAGTTTGTTCATGTCTTTACTTTTCTTAAATTATGTTTATTATAACAATGCGACTACTACCAAACACATCTTGATATGGGGTTAAAAACAGATTTGAATTTATTTAAAGGCATTTCGTGTTATCTGCTCGAGTTTGTATGACTTAATTACGGCAGCACATGAATGCAGCACGAGTCAATCTTCACTTTTTCCAATAACCCGACTTCAGGTTTTGTGTGATTCGTTTTTGTGGCAACATTTCATCTCCGCATGTTTCTCTTACCCTATTTTATTAACATTTTTTAAAATAGTTACAAAAAAGTTATATAATTATACACTTAAGAGTTTGCCATAATTTAAGCATGAAATACACATATTTATAGAACTTTTTGGTGCTCAAAACATGCCCAATTTCATTGYGTCCGTAATGCAATGTAATGTAATCAACTTCCTCTAGAAGTTTAAAACATAAAATTGTTGATAAGAAGAACCCGTCCAGAGTACCTACTTATTTTTCTTTTTGATAAAATTGTGGGGTTTTTTTTTTTTGTTCATAATTTGATAGACTGGGGTGAAACTATATTTCTTAATTTTTTTCTACATCTCAGTAGTATTTTTCCACCCTGTTAGAATGTACTTAATAACCTTTTAAAAAAAGACTACAATCAGTGGCGGAGCCAGACATTTTTCTCAGGGGTGGCCAGGAAAATTACAAAAAAATTTGCTTTAAATTTTCTACAGATCTTTGTGTTTTTGT